TCAACACATGTTCAATTTCCAAACAGCATCACCATCACCTGGAAGCTTCTCAGAAATGCAGAATGTGAGGCCCCGCCCGACCTACTAAGTCAGAATCTGTGTTGAAACAAAATTCCAGTGACATTGAGTGAGAACCTCCGCTCTAAAAGGCTTTTCAATCAGCTCATCTGTACACTCTTTTGGATGTTTGAAGTATAACAGATTTGGATAATTAATAATAGGGCTGAGGCACCTTTGAAGAAATTAGGTTTGTTTTGTCTAAAGAAAGACCTAGAAGGTGTTTCTTGGTCAAACATTTGGAAGGCTATTATTCAGAAGATAGTAATCAGCTGTTGCCACATCCATTAGGAATAGAAAAGGAATTAAAGTACGAGAGTTAACACTTAAGAACAAGACAGAAAAGCTCTAATATTAAAACTGCACAGATCAGGGGCTGGCTGCTTAGCTCAGTTGTTAGAGTATGATGCTGGCAATACCAATGTCAAGAGTACGGATCCCAGTACACGCCAGCCATCAAAAAACTATGTGGGTCAAAACACACTGCTATGAAACAGTGGGAGACTTCGGTTCCAAAAATTGCTTCCCTGCTGAAAATCCTCCCTAACCCCCTCTCTCTATCCCTATGGTCTACTTGTGTCTTCAGAATGCTATACTATCTCACTCAATTGCACTTGGTGGTACACTTGTTTCCCTCATTAAAACGTAAACTCCTACAAGACAAGGAAATCGTGTTTTTCAGCCAAATACCCAGAACACTGCCTGACACACAATGGGCCCTCAAGACTTTTTTACTGAATAAACAAAAATGATATCAGAAGGCAATGGCTGTTAAATTTCAATGGCGCAGGTGGCCTGAACCAGGATGGCCACATTTGGAATTGAGAAAAAGGGACAGATGTAAGAGGAAGAAAAAAAAAATCACTCAGACTTAAGTAAATGAATGGGAAAGAAAAATTCATGGAAGACTTCAAGGTTTCAAGTCCAGTTCACCAGCAGAAAGAGGGTGACATGAACGGAAACAGAAATATGTAACAAGGGCCCTTATTTTAAGGGAAAGGTAATGGATTTAGCAGCAATATCAGGAAAGGTGGCATCTAGCACCTGCATTTACACGTTCATTTCTAAAGTGGTTAATTAAACTATTTTTCCACACAATTATTAGCTTTCAAATCTACCTAGATAATTTTAGACTTCTGTTAATGAAACATAGACTCGTTATTGATGCCAGTTGTATATTTTGGGGCTCTTCTATTCTTTTTATTTCCTTCCCACTGTCAGGAAGACAACATCCTAACCCTGTCTGCTTTGCCGGTTAAAGGAACAGGACATAGCGTTTCCTCCATATCTTCCTGCCTAGTTAGTTCATAATTTGATAGTCAAAGTAAAAGGAGAGTAAGCTGCCACAGCAACAGAACAAAGACTGGACTCTGCTCCCCAAGTACACTGGAATAAAGACAGAGACAAGTAAAGCCAGAAATAAATTCCTACTGACAGATAACTGTTCCTTCAATTCCACATGTCAAGATTTTTACATGTGATGACCATTCCATGCCATCTTTTTTTTTTTTTTTTTTTTAAAGATGACCGGTAAGGGGTTCTTAACCCTT